TTGATGCGGTGCACTCGTGCTGGCATCTCTGTCTCTTTACGAACTGGGTCGAACACTCTATGATGTTTGATGTCACGTCCAACAAATCCTAACGGAGTTTCACGATCCGCCGGGTCGAATATTGCGATGGCGTATATGTCATGTTCGTTCCCCGAATGCTTTCGAAGCACGAGATCCTGGCCGGGTCGGAGCTTGCGAACGAGGTCTTGGCGGCCTTCAAAGCTGACTCCAACAGCTCGACATAGCATGCGTCCATTTGGAAGTTGCTCCATTGGAGGGTTCAAGGCCCGAGGTTGATGTATTCAGCGGAGCTCTTTCCTAAGTATGTATGCGACCCGCGAGCTTGAATGATATGGGCCCACACAAAGCCTGGGCCTGAGTCAATCTGCACCATCATATACTATACAAGCAAGTCTTCACATCACACATGCATATTGACGAGTTCGTACTATATCTTACGACACCATTTGAGGAAGTAATTGGCCTGGTCGGATCTTTTGGAGAGGGGCCCCCGGCGGCTGTCAATTTGCACCGTCATGCTAAACAAGCAAAACCTTATCCAGGGGGCAAATTGACGGCTGCATATACCAGGATTTACCATCCACTAAAGTGCACGGCATGGTTCAAAGGGGCCTCCGTCAATCTGCACCATCTGTGCTATACAAAGAAGCCTTAACAGCAGTGCAGATTGACGGCTTCCTACCTATCCAAGTACAACATCGCTGTAAAAAGCGCACGGCATGGTTAGAGGGAACGCCCGTCAATTTGCACCATCGTGCTATACAAAGAAGCCTTCACAACAACGCAAATTGACGGCTTCAAGCTATGCGCTAAAACCAACACAAAGTGCCCGGTTTGGTTCGAAGGTGGGGGTCAATTTGCACCATGATGCTATACAACGAAGCTTCCACAGCAGTGCATATTGACGGCTTAGCTCGTACCATTCAGAACAATGCATGTCACAAAGTAGAGCACTGCGTGCTTTCAGGGCAAAGTCAAACGAGCACAGGCGGCCAGTCTCATTGCGACATCCTTCAATCTTATTTGAATTTTGTATCTGCCTTATCGCTCCAATAAATCTTAAGACCAATAATAAATATGGCCTTCTAAGACGCTATTCACGCACTGCGATGCAAATTGATCGACTCTTCACCTGGCGCACTGTCCACAATGCCTATGAATCACTACCTTCTTGGATCGATCATGCACTCCTCCCTAGCAACCGTCTCCGGATTGAACCAACCGTACCGCTCATGCAGACTCAACCAGATGGCGGGCGTCAACACGTGGGGATGCTTGAATTTGCCGCCGCTCCTCGAGCCCATATGGAGCTCGATCCCGAGGCCCGCTCTGAGCACGTTCCCTACTGCATTCCGTTTCTGAGCTTTCTTCTCCCTCACCTTTCCATCTGCAGCCTGCGAGGGTCTGGAGGTCTGCTGCACAAAACCGTACAGGTTGAAGATGGTTTTCAACCGGGTCTTGCTGGGCCCGATGTGCTCCGCATAGGCAGCCTGCACGCGCTCCTCCGAGACCTCCCACCGCTCCGCCTCATGATTCAGCTGCTCCTCCCTGCATTCAAGGAGGAAGGCAAGCACGCGCACCGCAAACGGCACACGGTTGGCAGGGTCGCGCATTTCCTGAACGTACTCCTGAACCACGCCCTCCTCGTTGGCATGCCCAAGTGCTCTGTCCAGGTCCGCGACGAGGGCATCGAAGCGGTGCTCACGAAACCTGCAAGTCACGAGAAGCGTCAGAGGGACAGCAAAAACATGAGACTTCGGACGTACGACGTCATTGCTGCTGAAGAAGAAAGATGAGCGGAAACCTTGGCTCTGGACAAATGCTGCAGACTTGAAGTTCACTAATCGTTCACTTTGGACATAAGTTGATGGCGGCAAGAGGGCTTCGATTCTTGCTCCAGAGACGGGGCACAGCTGGAATGAGGCGCTTACCTGAGATAGTTTGCGTGGGCCTCTCTTGTCGCCTTCGCCTCGTCCTCGTCAGCGCAAAAGCGGGTGTAGAAGTCGTGATCAACCCGGTTGGGGTCGACCTTGTACTCCTTCGTGACCATCTCGAACAGAAACTCTTGGAGCTGCTCCTTTGGGCTCAGGTCCTCAGGCCTTTCGCACAGGATCTCGTACTGCTCCGAGCTGATGATGTACTTCGCTCGCCACTCTTCGGCCGTCAGGAGCTCTGGCTCCGCGTCGAAGCCGAGGGGCACCTCCGGGGGCGGGCTCCCGACGCCGTCCTGGAAAAGGAAATGGTGGGACGTCCGATCATTCCACGGAAGCAAACACAGTCCGGTGGCGGGGTGAGCCCCAAATGTCGACTCCTCAAAAGACGTTATGCTCTGCAAGTTCTAAGGACCTCACAAATAGCCGCCAAACCAGGCT